CTCAGACACTCCTTCAAGTTTCCATACTCTTTCCTATATAATATGCAGTCATTACGACATGCATGTATTTTGACATTGTCCAAAATCATTGGACATAATATCTTCTTGGCCTCATAACTACGGTTCCACAACGTGTTACCTTCTAGAAGTATTTCTTTCAATAATTCAAGTAATTCAGTGAAACTTCTTCTGTTCACCCACCTCTTGTCTTAAGATTAAATAGTCTAAACATAGTTGACAATCTTGTAAAACTTTTGCATCCCGGATACAACGAATCTTCCATGTATTTTTGCAAAGTATCTACCACATTAGCTTTCTTTAAAGCATCTACTCGAATATCATGAATCATGTATAGAGTATCATTCATAAATTCATCATCATCTTCAATTGTATGTGACAGAGGTCTTTTTTTGTCACTTCACCATGTCATACCCATTTTGGGTAATTTTGAATAATTACATCACAACCTAAATGATTCAATATAACAACACTTAGATGTTTTTATGTGTTTCGAAAAATTTTACAAGGACACCAAAAATTTCTATTATCGTTAGGAATGCAATTCAAGAAAGTGAATCACTTCATTCTCATACTCTTTACTTAATCTATTGGCTTTCATCCAACTACATCCATAATCACATAGAGCTTTTGAAAATAAAATAAAAATAGTACACAAACCAATAAAAATAAACCATATAAATCTCAAAAACCATAATAACAATAACAATAATAAGGCAACAATATCAATGATGACCACAATATCAACAACAACAACAAACAAACAAACAACAAAAGTAATGGAGAATTTGTACACACCAGAAATGTGACGAGAGACTCTAATAAAGTGTTGGTTTGAGGTTCGAGCTTCCTTCCTCCTTGGAGAATAATGTTTCAGTATCGTTCCCTAGAGAAGAATAGTGTTTCAATATCGTTCGCTAGCTAAGGCGCAAAAAATGAATGAGACTTATCATTAAATCTAAAGGAGTAAAAAATTGTTAAGAGAGTTTTTATCACGGTTTTATTAAAAAAAATCGAGGGAACATATCTGACATGAAAATTATAAAAACTAAAAGCTTCTTTTTAGTTTTGAATAAAACATAAAATTGCAAGCGCTGAGAATCAAAGCCCAACCCCATAGCAACTTTTTGTATCGGCTTTTGGGAAAATCGAGGTAAAATATTAAGTTTTTCTTAATAAATAAATAAATGGCGTGTTTCAGGTCATTTGACCTCGGTTTTTCAATTGCTAAGATGAAAATTTCGTCATGAAATGTATTATTTGTAGTAGTTCTATTTGTCGAATTTGTGAAAAGTCCATTTGGTGTCGAAAACATAACCTAGCTATCTGCACTTAGCATTTATATACATTTCAGATCCCATATTCATGTTGAAATGCTGAGCAAAAATCTCAAGCTAACAGATGCCACTAAAAAAAGTCATTTTGATCATATATGCAATATGGCAAAAAGATAGTGTTTTTCCAGTAAACTCACAACACTTATCAAACCATTATGCACACATCATCGTCATCATGACTACCTCTGCTAGCCGTCACGTCTGCAACGTGCATATGCTCGTCATTTATTAAAAGAAAAATCATTAATTAGTAATGATTTAAATCAAAAATCAAAACGCCAATGTTTTAATTTCAAAGGAGAAAACCGAAGAGACTCGTTTCAACAGTTATGTAACTTTGTCTTCTCTTCTTCCATCCGTTTCACAACATCACTCTTTCCTGAACCCTAAAACATTCATTTTCTGCAACATCCATATTCACATTTTCTTCTACTCAAGTTCTAGAAAAAATGGTTTCCTCTTCTAGCATAGAAAAGCAACTCCAAATCCCTTCTGCTGCTGATATGTTGGTTGATGAGGTCCAAAGCCTAAAATCTGAATACTCCATAAATGATACAAGGATCAAACTTGCAAAGAAGTGCTTTGAAAAGGTCAAGGTTGAATTTCCCTTCTAACTTTTCGACTTCTTGTTTTCCGTTGTGTAATTGTGTCATGACAATTTTCCATTTTGGTACTTTTAAATTCAATACTATTTTAGTACTTTTATTCCTTATGCATTACTCTTCTATTATTCGAATCTCCTGCAACATAGGTTTGTACTTCTTTAAGTACTTACCATTTATCCTCGTAATTAGATTGTTAGGACTCAGCACTAACTTTATAAGCATTATTCAAAAACACTTGAATGATTCAAAATGGGTCTTTCCAATTTGATGACCATTTAGCAAAAGTTCTATCTTTTCGATCCACATGAAAAAAAATCCAAACATAATCACCAACTGTAAAGACTTTCGATTTAACCTTTTTATTATACATCTTAGTTATTCATTTCTTTTAACTTATAAGAACGTTCAAAGTAGCTAACGTTTCCTCATGTAAATCAACTAACTCATCTAGTATCATATTTCAATAATGGTCAGAAGGAGTTTCAACTTATCTTTAAATTCTAGTTGACTGTAAATAAATTTCGACAGACAAAACTACGTCATGACCAAATGTTAATCAAAATGGAGTAGTATGAGTTGTCTCTTTAAGGAAATTTCGACAAGCTCGTAATATTTGTTCTAAAGTTTTATGCCAATTTATTGGCTTTTGACCAACTTATTTTTTAAACAAACCAATTACAATTTTTTAGTTGATTCAACTTGGTCATTCAATTGAGCATAATAAGGAGTAGACGTTAAAAGTTTGACTCCTAAATTTGAAGCAAACTTAACCATTTTTCAACCACTAAAAACTGTACATTGATCGGTGGTTAGAGTTCCAGGCATTCCAAACCTATATATAATATGGCCTTGAATAAAATTAATTACTACTTCCTAATCGACATTAATCAAAGGAACAACTTCCACCCACTTGGTAAAATAATCTATACCAATCAAAATGTACTTATGACCCTAGGATGATGTAGGTCGAATTTCACCAATTAAATCTATAGTATAACCTTTAAAAGGTCAAGACTTTAACAATTGAGTGCATCTCACTTGTAAAAACATGTTGAATACCTACATGCTTCTGACACTATTGACAACTTTTCGCAAACTCAATACAATCTTTCAACATACTTAATCAATATAGACCTTATCAAAACAAAAATCATTTCATCTTGTGGTCTATTTGATGAGCGTCACATGATCCACTATAAATGTTAGTTCTATGATTGACAACAATTTTGATAAAACTTGGTGTAATCACAAGATGTCCTATATGATGTCTTGACATGTGATCTTAACATTCTGCAGGTGGTTCTTTTTGTTGTTGCAGGGTTTAGTTCATAATGTCAAGTATGATGTCCTGACATATGTTTATAGAACATTCAGTCAGAATGTTATGTTCTATCTGTTGTGTTTTTGTGCAACCTTTTATGCTTTTCTGGTAAGAGATATTGTTGGTGCAATCAAGGTGGAGATTGTCTTTAAACAAAAGAGTTTCTGTTGTATAATTTGTGGAGTTATTTTGGAATCTGTTGTCCTATTTTCATGCAGAAAATCTTGAGGAGATTTGAAGTTAATTTGATTTGATCAAATCTGATTTAGTTCTATTTTTATGTCTTTAATTATGAAAAGATTTGAAGAATTATCTAATTTGATTTTATCAAATCAGAGTTCGTTTTTGCTAATGCCCAAGCTCATACAAAGTGTTTCTATATAAAGACTTTACAATCTTAATTGAAGATTAGAGAAGCGAGGGTTAAGAGTGTGCATTGCTTAAGAAATAGGGTTTTACCTTCTTGTGTTTTTGTTATTTGTGAGTCATTCATTCATCAGTTTGATATGTGAATTGGACTGAATTCTTTGAATTGTAAGTTGTCCACTTTAAATTTTTAAGCACGAGTGCATTGTTCTTGATTCTTTGAGTTGTAAGTTGTCCACTCTAAGTTTTTAAGCACGAGTGCATTGTTCTTGATTGAAGTTGTTAAGCAATATCAAGTGTTGTCCTTGAAGTGTGTCTTCTACCTTTTGATATTCTGTTTTTATCACTGCATGTGATTGAGGGGGAGTGAGAGGTGTCTCATATTTAAGAGTGTTTTTGATAGAAGTTATACGGATAGAGATTAGGTGCAAAGATGGTAAACTAGAGAGTTTATTGAGAGTCTTCAAACTAATTATATTTAGTGGATTTCCTCCCTGATTTGGTAACCCTCAGACGTAGGTGTGTTTGCACTGAACTGGGTTAGCAATTGCTTGTGTCTCTTTACCATTGTTAAATGCATTTTATCTTGTTCATATATTGATATTTATTCAGATATTCGTGTCGTGACATCACTTTCGACATCTCATATCTGATATCAGAATTTCAATAAATAACAAAAATTGTCAAATAAACTTCTCTCACTAAGGCATTTAAGCAATATTTCATCAGAAGTCTTTTTAAATAATTTGTTCCAATAATCACATAACTTAATGCATTGTAGGAATAAAACTCCTAGTAATAATAATTCTTAAAATAATATTACTAGAGAAAATATCATTAGAATTATACTAAATTCCTAGGGGAGTAATGATATCTCTACGGCCTAAGAAAGATTATCATAAGAATTATTCTTAATACCTACTCATGAATATTTGCAGTGCAATAGGAATAATATTCCCCATAAATAATTTGCCATGTAGTAAGTTTAGGTCCTCTAAAATAGGTGACTATCCTTACAGGAAAAGGCAAGAGATTATACTGGTTAATTAAGAAGAACCAACATCTTTCAAGTTTTTTATACATATAATCAATGTACATATTTCAATAATAAACATCTCATTTTCCTATTTTCCTCAGACAGAGGAATCAAATGAGGCAACACAAATCTGATAGAGTATGATTTCATTTCCCAGTAGATGTGTAACGGTGTTACAATGCATTTCATGAGTGACTTTCTTAAAATACTGTTAAACTAAAGTAGACAAGCAAAGGACAGTGGATAGAGCTACAAATGTTCCAAAACAAAAGATACAGTCCAAATGTCCAAGCAGGCAGTAGCTCACGGCGTCAAAGTTAGTGACCGTATTTCTGAAACTCCCACTCACTGTTATCTATACCAAGCGAAACAAGAACCCGGTAAGGAACACTAATTAATCAATTTGGATTCAAACAGAAAAAGAAGGTGTTGAAGGAAATTGGCCCACATACCTAGAGGACAAACTTGACGGGTCTTGAGCCATCGGCTAATGCAATGGAAATGAAATGCATGGTTACAAACCCCTGTATAAGATAGCAGCCAGAACAATAAACATTTGTGTAATCTTCCTCTTGCAAGGCATAACAACTAGACTAGCATACACAATTAGAAAACTGACCTAGATAACCTAACTAACAAACAAGTTCAACTTGGTTTTTAAATTAGACTTATTATGGCATGTTTGATTTGGCTTTTGAAAGAGCCAAAATCAATTCTAAGGTGTAGAATTGATTCTAGAGTGATTTTGAAGTGCTTGGTTCTTCTAAAGTAGAATTGATTCTGCTTTCAAAATTGCTTCTACTTGAAGCTAGAATTTGTAGCTTCTGAGTTTAAACGTGATTTTTTTACAATGAAATTTGTTGTTCAACTCACTTTTACAAATCAACTTCGCTAAACTCAATTCTCTTAAAATCAATTCTATCAAACCTCAATTCTATTAAAATCAATTTTGTTCATCGTCAATTCAAACACACACTTAATTGACATGCACATATTTACTCTGGCAATCATTTATAAATGTTGGATCATTAAAAATAAGCAACCCTAAATGTCACACACTTGATTATTCATAATCAATTGTTAGTATAAAAAATTCTACACCGACAATATATCAAAATTAAACTCTTCAATTATACCCAATGCAACTATGTCAATAAGAGTATCAAATATGATATGCAATTATGGTAAAAAAAACTTAAAATTATACTATGTAATTAAACTCGGCTGTTCCAGCCGTTGTCTCTGCATGGAACAGCAAAACCAAGAAAACCGCGTCAGAGATGAGTGACTCTACTGGAACGGCCGCAATACTGAGATTGAATTCAGAACACCCCGCTCTGACGTGGCTGCTCCAGCCACGTCAGCCATATATGATATTGTCCTTTTCTAAGGATAGCAAGGTTATTTTATTGAATTTTATTGGGATTTGTAAGTAAGTTTTACTTAAGCCTTATGCTTTTATTTCTATGTATACCTCACGCTCCTGTTCTGTTCCATTTTTAGAGATTGCCATGCCATACCACTATCTGAGATTGATAAGAGAAATTTTATAGGAACAGCAACCCAAGTCTAATGCATTCTCAGTTGTATTACAACTTCCTTACCATGCCCACCTATGTCTGCTCTCTCCCACTCTTGGACTAGGGTGTAACCTGCTCTCACTCTGCCACTTTTTCCCCAGCCTAAAATGACAGCTAAAATGACAGGCTACAAACAGGATTACTGTGTATGTTAGAGATGAAATCAGTACCATCTGATGATGATAATATGGGACTTAAATATGTAACGTGGATTTTTGGACTAACGGTAGTCAACACTTAGGTTGTGTGTAGGTCTCAGTGAATCAAAAGATTTTACCTCAGTGATGAAATTATCTATCCAATACATTTATGATAAAGGAACAAAATTGAGAATTTGAATCTATAAATTGGATCAACCTATATTAAATGTTTGGTAAATAAGTTCATGGTTCACTCTAGAGCGGGTATGCAGGATCACGAGTCAACTCATGAACTCGTCCGATCCAACAATCCAATTGCATGCCAGTGTGCTGCAATCCAGGAAAAATCGTACGCAGCAAACTCGGTGAACTTGCCTGAGTTGAAAAATTAACTAGTTGTAATTCAGAGATGCGGCGCAACTGCTTTTTGGGGTATATTTTTTGGAAAAAAAAATCCTAAATTTCTAAAATGGGCCTGGATCCAGGTCGGGCAGTATTAAAATCTGTATTTATTATTATTTTTCTAAATAGCAATTCAGAAAGACATATCATAACTCCTTTTAAATAAAAAGTGTATCAGTATTACGTGAACGGATTGCATCCTTCCACTCTCAATAATCTCAACTGTTACCAACATTATTTCAGCATAAATTCTATTCCTTCATTCACAATTCTTCTTCCATATTTACTTTCCTCTTCCTTATTCTAAACTGCACCCTGCTTCCTCTTTCATTCAAGCTTCCTTTTTTATATATGATGATTTTTTAGCATGTGTATGTATGTAATTATACATATACAACAACAACCAAGCCTTATCCCGCTAAATGGGGTCGGCTACATATGTAATTATACATATATAAATATATTTTTCTACCAATAATAGGATTTTACGATCCGTGCTACAATCCTCGAGTTACTATTTTCTAATCAGCTACTCGTTAACACTCAGTTTTTAAACATTACTCTAGAGAACTATGCCCATAGAAAGGATAAACTTATAGCAAAAAAAAAACACGATCTGCTAAATGGGAAAGCAGAATATTGAAGATCATCATAATTGGCTTATTGTCATAGTTCAAATCAGTCTCATGGACAAGGAAAGCACATTAGTTTAAGAAAACTGTGTGTATTTGAAATTTAAAAATAAAAACTGATCACATTATGTAGTAGAATTATCTACAATCTAAATATAGATGTGAGTATAATAAGCAAGCAAGCATACATACCTCGATAATTATGCCAAAAACAAAGATGGGATAACTAAAATCTAGACCTAGATGCAAGTATAATCAGCAAGCGAGAAAAACTCAATAATTATGACAAAAACAAAGATGGGGTAACTAAAACAAACAATAAAAATAAACTAGGAGTTCCACAGTACTAACTGTTAGTAATGCTTAGTATCTCATTGCATATATTGTTTGTAGAAAGGGATATTTTTGGTGATTGGTGGTCTACTTGAATTTGATTATAAGCTTATGTACAGTTGAACTTTGAGTTGCATTCTTACAGGATAGGAATATTTCATTGTTCACTACCAGTAATACTAAATGCTCCCTAATGATATGTAGATAAATGAACACAACAAAAGGCATCAGGATGCTATAAAGCTCCTGTTATCGCAAGGTTCAAGGAAGGGTTGGATACTTGGATCAATTATAAATTTCCTATATGCAGCCTGATCTTTCCTTTTCAAAGGGCTGATTCTACAACTCAAACTCGTGACCCTCTTGCCTCAGGTAAAAAAACTACAACCATTGTGCCCCCAAAGCTTCTTGTCATAAAAAGAAAATACTTGTTCGACAAAGTCATATTGCTATAGGTGATGTCCTTTAAACAATCCTAAAAGGCTAAGTCTAAGAGTCAGCAACTTTCTTTATAGATGGATGAATAATTGAATACCAATAACTGAAAATCTTCTAAAACTAAATTTCACGTGAAATCTATAATCATTTTATGAATAATAATAGTAATAATAATATCAACAAAAGGCACATTGAGTTGAATTACAAAGTTTAAGATCATACCCCAAGCAACTGTGCATTCTTCACTAGTTGCGCTAGCTTGGTTTGCTTGACACTCAATGCCTAAAAACTCCATCAAATTCAACAGAAATTAGGTTATTATTCTCTCAAGAAAATTATAATTTCTACAAAAAAAAAAAACTGAAATAACATGCTTACAGAGATCCATAATATGATTCCTGCAGATAGCGCAGTTATCAACAACAATATCTGCATTTCAAAACACCAAAACAACAAATAACAGAAAGATCGTTAGAAACAAACGGTAAAGGAAAAGGAAATTAGGGTTTGGGAGAGGGCTAAGAGAGAGAGACAAACCCCAAGCCCAGAGAGAAACAGCATTCCACTTCTTGATCTCGAAGCGTTTGGGCTTCTTGGAAGAAGAGGGACCGTGAGAGCAGGAGGACTCGCCGGCGGGAACCATAGGAACGTCGGAATCTAGGGTCGCCATCTCTCTCTGTATTTTTCAATTAACAAAGGTTTCTTCTACTTTTTGATTCTGTTTGTTTCTTCGATATCTGTACGAAGAACAAACAAGACTTAAAATGGGGTTTTCATGAATTTAAATGACCTGGTTGGGCTTTTAAAGTATGGGCTTTCATGAATTTAAAGACCTGGTTGGGCTTTTAAATTTTGGGTTTTCATGGACCTTATTGAAAAATCAATAATGTTTTTAATATCTGAAACTTAACATCCAGAAACACCAAAAATCAACCAAAGTCAAGTATCACACTCAGGTTAGAACACATATAAAAATATCTGGAGGTTAATGTCTACATTTTTTATGGAGGTTAAGTTCCAAATGTGTTTGATTTATAGATTAGTTATCCCTATTTATTCTTCTTCATTTTAAAAAAGATTTACTCAGAACCTAAAATACAGCTCGTGAGCAAATTCAATGTATATCCTATCAAGATCATTTAACTTGATTTGTCATCAAGTTTTCTTCTCAACAAATTTGGCACATGTCTATGTGCAATAGATCTAAACACCTTCAAATGACTTAGGCTAGGCTTGACACTAGACTAATATTCTTCTAGTGTGATTTCTTCTAACTTCTTCATTGGACATCTATTTAAGATATATGTTGCATTCGACACAACTTCTCCCCATAATTCTTTGGGTAGATGCTTGCTTTTCAACATACTTCTTACCACATTCATGATGGTTCTATTCTACCTTTATGCAGTTTTATTCTGCTGTGGAGTGTAGGGTGACACCATTTCATGCACAACCCCTTCTTTCTCACATAATGCATCGAAATCTTTCAACACATATTGTACAGAAAAAGGAAGAATAGAACCATATTCGGGTTCGAAAAATACGATCCTCGCGAAGGACGCAGAAAAAGTGTTCGAACAGAGTCTCCATCGAACTTTAATTTATTCTAATGAAGGAATAGGAAAATATTGAGAAAACCTTTTTAAAATGGAAAATGGTCATCACAACCATATCCGGGTCCAAGAGTCGGTTACATGAGGGGAAGATATTAGCACCCCCTCACGTCTGTTGTACTCAACGGGAACCTCTTAGTCTAATTAGTGATTTTGAGTGTGTAACTATGTTTATCTGTCTTCTTCAAATAAAAAGATATTTGCAAAATAGTTAATTAGGGTTTATGAAAAAAAGATAGATTGATTTTATTATTAAGAAAACAGGAGATTTTTAATTAAGGTGCTCGCCAGGGATTGGGGCCCCTGTGCCTACATATTCTCATTTAGGAATGAGGAATCAAAGCAATCGTAGTTTGACTACGATTTGTATGTTTGTGTTTTTTTTAGACATCAATTACTAGAACATGAAAAAGATATCTCACACTCAATTAATCGAAAGAAAAGAGTAAAAGATTTCACTCCCTTCCTATGTCTTTTATGAAATAATGTTAAAGTATAACTACATATTTTAATTAAGCATTTGTTTGAACAGGAGAAAGAAACCTCATATTCAAACAAGTGCGGAGAGATTTTGAAGATTCAAAATCTCTCTTTAAAGTTTGATCAGGTTTGAATAAGCATTGGTTTATAATTTAATTATTATATATATTTTAGGAAAATCCTCGATGTTGATCAGGTTTGAATATGTACAAGTTTTGAATCGCTTACTAAATAACCTAACGGCTAAGGTCGATGACAATCATGAATGACCGACTTACAGGGTATGAAAATGGCTCGATACAAATCAAGAATTTATTTTAAAAATAAGTTTTAAGGTTGTAATGTATTAAAGCATGAGTACAACCAACACAGGTATGAAAGTAAAAGGCATGAAAGTCGAAGATCGTATAATCGAGCAAAAGCATCCAATTATTAACTAAATTAAATTAATCAATAATTTAATTAAATAAAATTGTTTAAAATAGTTAATAATATATATATATATATATATATATATATATATATATATATATATATATATATATATATATATATATATATATATATATATATATATATATATATATTTGATATTTTTATAAATTAATCAAAATAATACACAACAACAAGCCAAATTAAATTCACTCAAAGAAATCCACAAGGGCCAAAACATTTATTAAATAATATCATGAATTTTGTTCAAAAATATAACCTAATTTAAAATTAAATAAAAAAAGCATGTAAAATAAAATATTTTAATTTTTTTATACCTTTTTTTAAAACACTTATGCCAAATAATCAGAATATATAAATAGACAAAATAAAAGGATGTAGGGTCCATCGTGGACCCCTGGTCAACTCACAGTCTGGCCGTCTGATCAGAATGAGTCAACAGTTAATTCCAGTCAGAGGCCTAGAGTGAGGGTGCATGTTATGGTGCGTGAGTACGCTTTCGTGGGATCAGTCTCATACCATAACCTCAGGAAACACAACAATATCATATCATTTTTATTTTCATCTCCATCTCTCTCTCCTTGTAATCTCTCTCAGTACTCTCTCTCTCTCTACACATGTGTCGCATTGCTGCAAAGAGGGAGCCGGTAATGATAGAAGAGTCGCCACCGTTTGTTATTTATCCCAAAGAGAGGGAAAGGAAACGATCAGAGAAAACCTACGAAAAGGGAACAAGACAGGTCATCGCAACCAAATCTCGGGTTCGGGAGTCGGTTAAATAAGGGGAAGGTATTAGCACCCATCACGTCCGTCGTACTCGACGGGATCCACGCTTGTTGTCTATACTATGGTTGTAAACTATCTATGCTAAAGGCCACGGGGACAAAGAAAAGAAAAAGAGACTCGATAGAGCATCGCTGCCCTATGCCTACATATTCCCTCGTGCAACGGGAAAGTCAGAGTCAACGTAGTTCAGAAAACTACGGGTGAAGATGGGGAAGGTTGCTTTCCAAGACATCGCCATCTTGTGCCTACGTATCCTCATCTGGTATGAGAAATCAGAGCAAACGTGGTTCGGGAAACTACGAGTGAAGGTGGGGAAGGTTGCTCGCCAAGACATCGCCGTCTTGTGCCTACGTATCCTCATCTGGTATGAGAAATCAGAGCAAACGTAGTTTGGGCTGGCACGATCACAGGTTGGTTCAAGTGTTTTAACTGAGTAGGGTTAAACAGTGGTTTCAGCAGTTAGGGACGACGCCTGTTTGCGGTAGAACCAAAGCTTAACACACTCTTTCTGAAAATAATTTTCATTAATCTCGAAAGATAAAAAGATTTGATGTTTTTGTTTTGTGTTTTTTAGGACAAGAAGTAGATTGAGTTATGGTTTGAAACTCATGTCGCACTAAAGACTATGACTCGAGAGCGAATGCGTCGCATATCGTCCAAAGGGCATACGCTAAACACTATAGTCAATTGAGAGGAGGCCCCCCAACCATCATTCCTCGAGTACTTAAGGCTTGTAGCGTATGACACATATCTTTCTTTATTAAGTGTTTTGAATTGTTTAGGAGATGAGAAAAGAAAGACTCGAACTAAGGGGAAACTGGATCCTAAAGTTATCATGCATAATGCTCCTAAAGTTGGGGTGAAAGGGAAAAACTACCATAATGTTATCATGCATAGGATTGAACACCTAATGTCTCTCCTACTCCCATCCTGAACGGAGGGACTAGGAATCCTAGGGGGATCATGGCGTAAAGCCAAGTAAACACTAAATAATTCACTCATTAATGAAATGAGAAAGAAAAGAAATTGATTGGAATAAAAGATAAACTACAAAGCACATTAATTTGTTAATTCAAAAATAAAATGACAAAATAAATGGAAAATAAATGGAAAATAAAATAATAAAAAAAAGATGAAAAACAATTAACACAACCACATATTAAGAAATGATTTTTTTGGATTTTATAATATTTAAAACTAATTTTAAATAAAATAAACAAAATAGGAAATAAATAAAAATAAAAGAAATAAAAATAAACAAGTAAACAAAACATTAAAAATAAGAAAGTGCCCCCGAAGGCTTGAACCCAAGACCTTGGGGATGAAAGCACAAAACTATGTCAATCCAGTCACTAAACACATGTGAAAAGAAAAGGAAAAAGAAAGCAAAAATATTAAAAACATGAAAATAATTAAAAAGGAAGCAAAAACGCCCTCGCTGGGGGTCGAACTTAGGTTCAAGGCATGGCAAGGCAAGGTTACAATCACTGGGGTGGCGATACATCCATTGTATCAAGCCACCCCATGTGCATATATACAAAAACGCGTGGAATTTCTGGCATGTTCAAGGCAAAACCAAGTGAAGGAGCCAAATACGACTTGATCATAACTTTGTCAAAACTCAATCATTTTCAGTGAAATTTAAGTCTAAACTGCTTGAAATTTCATGAGGATCATGATGGTGCAATCCATTTTTCCAAATGATACCTCCAACTGAAAACACGATGGATTATGCTAAGATGAACTTGGCAATGCATTTGAGACCCAAGCTTTGCAAACTGATGCAATTAAAGGTAGGAGATGGTTTGAGCAAGTTCTAAATGTGATATGGAATGTGTCTCAACAGAAAGTTTGTTCAGAATGCATCAGAGCCAAACATTGGTATGTGAGTTGCAAAGGGTGAAGTTTGTGTTTTAAGCAAGACTTTGCAATCCAACAATATCAATAACTCCAAGACAGCAACCAAGTTACTAAGTCCAAAGGCCAAACAGTTACAACTTTACATACACAAATTGCAATGGTCTCAAAGATGGGACTTGAACGTATCAAAGTTTGATCAAAAACAACAATTAAGTAGTAAATCAAGGCAAAGTGCTCTTAAGGCATCAAAAATGTCAATCCAATGTTCAACTAACCTAGGCAGTAGTGGTATTTCAACAATGTTGAATTCCATCCAACATGGCTTTTTAGACAAATCAAAGTTGTGCCACAAATCAAACATAAATGAAATACTTAGAACAGAAACAAATTATCAAGACCTGCTGCCATAACATACTACAACCAACAATAGTCCAAGAGACCTTGCTTTAATGTCCACCAAAGTGAGTTGATAAACTCT